ATGGAACCCGTCTGAAATTCTCCTCTGAACCTAAGATAAATATTACTGAGCAGATGAAAGGCAGAGGCTGGCTGTGGTACCCCACTCCACCCTCACCAAGTAGAAAATATCCCTTTATTATTCATGAACTGCATTATATTTGCAGCCTGGTGCACCATTCCAGATTATGACAAAACAGGATTATTTTACTGGAACTTAAAATGCTCTTGTGCGGTTAAGCAAGTGGACTAGTTTTTGTTTTGTTTTGTTTCCAGTATTTGGGGGCCTGTCAAGTTTGGTCAAAAAAAAAAAAACTTTAAAAGAGTTGAATTATGAAACTACACACAATGAATCAGGAATATAAAGGAATTTGAAAGAGAATAACTGCTAGCCCGGGGCAGGATTTTCCTTGGGGTGTGAAAACCTACATAGAGAATTATTCTACAGAAAGGGCCCTCTCAGCATTGGAAGGATCGAATGCCTGGAAATGGAAAGCCAGGTGCTGGCAATGTCCATCTTTGGAATAGCAAAAGGAAAAGATAAATATGAGACCCTTCTGAGACCACTGGCAAGGCTCTCTCTTGGTCCAGCAGGTGGGGAGAGAATGCCTTAATTCTGTTCTCTGATCACAACACAAGCATCTATACCATGACAGGAAAGGAGAAATGGGTGGAGAAAATCCACAGTGGAAAGAGCAAAGCTTCCCAGGAAGGGCCACAAAGGGGCTGCCCCTGGAAGTCAGGGTTACAGCAAGCTGGAGTCACAGGGCAGTTGATTAGAGCTAGGTTTCCAGGGCTCCCCAGAGACTGCAAGATTTGAATAAATTCAGGAACTCTAGGGGGTAAAAGTTGTCCCTCACTGTCCAGCGCCCACCCTCAGGAAGGGTGGATAGGGTTGGTGGTTAGGGTGGTTAGGCTCAGACTGGACAAGCCCTGACACAGCACGTGGTTGTAGACTTAGACTTCAACAGGCTTACAGAGGAGCAAGTGATTGGCCTCTAGCAGGGCCTCAACACTGGGTCAAGATATGTTAGATATATTTCCGTTACAGAGAGATTCTATCTTACATGCAAACTCAGATCTATCACCTGGAACTGGTGTTGAGAGTATTCTGAGAACAGGCTCGGTGGAAACAATGCTGAGATCATGGGGGTTGCTGGATTGGGCAAAGGGTTAGTACAAGCCCACAAGCCTCAGATATGCTGACCCAGAAGTTCAGGAATTGCCTGCTACCCTGGAACAGGGTCATTGCCATGGTAATCACAGCATGACCTACCACAGTCACATCCCTGGAGTATTTGACTAATCCTTATAGGAGTCTACTCTTACTACTTCCTATTTATTTCTTTCAAGTCCCTTAAAACAGTCCGAAATTGCCTATTTATTCATTGTACATATGTATCATATATTGCTACTTTCATATTCACTCAATATTTTATTATCTATTGATTTGAATATTACTCATTTTTCTCACAAGCCTATTAGCTCCAGTAAGGATTTTGTTCACCAAAGGACATCCAGGTCTGAAAACATGGTTCTTCATGAGTCTATGTTCTGTAATTATTTCTCCAATGAATCAAATAAAAGACAACAAAGCAAAACAAAATAAAAGAGCAAAAATTCATGGGTGAATTTAACTCTCCTCACTCCCCAAGGGACTGTCTGATCCAGGCAAAGCTCATTTATAGAAAAAGACAGATTCATCCTCATATTGTTATGACTGTGTCTGGCATTTTTTCTTGAAAGTGTGTCTCATATTCCAATACTTGCCTTGTTCTAATGTATAGTTCAGTTAGCCCAGGGCACATGGATGGACTGTGCAATTGCAGGCAGGGGAAAGAGTGGGTGTCCAAAGAAGTCTGATTCAGACAGCACCTTCGTTCACCCTCAGGAAAAGCTCTCTCCCCAGTTTCCAGTTGAATTCTCCATTTGCAATTTCCACCAAGTCATCAGCACTGTCACTGAATGTGATTCTAACACTTGGTGCTTGAGTGATTGGGTTAAATAAAATTTGCTGAAGCTGCAAGGGGTTTTCTACATTGACTTTCATCCTTGCTACTTAATTAAATCCCTCACCTCTGGTAAAGTGATTTTAAGCTATCTTGCTTTCTGTGGCATTAACCTGCAACTGTGATGGTTGAAATGCCAGCCTGCCAGCTGCATTTAGTGCTTCAAGGTACAATACACCTGAAGCCTTCAGAATCCCCCAGGGAAGGTGGATATTAGCTGAGAATGGAAGATGACAGCAGAGGAGATTGGATCAGCACAGTATAGTATGTGTACAAATCTACCTCCTCTCCTGCTTCAATTCCTAAATATGTCAGAAAGCATCCTGTTTTAAAGAATGTTTCTGGTACAGACAATGTCAGACAGTCCATTGTCTACGCATGTCCAACAGTTTCATTGGGAATCCATCTATCACCTTGAAGCAGGGATACATGTCCCATTATACCCTCACATCTGTATATAATAGACCCCAGTACTCCATCACTATACCTTTCCCTTATTGAGCAGCCATGAAACAAGATCAACAAGTGATAGGAGTTAGAACAGCCACAACAACAACAACATCAACAACAAATTACAGCACCATGAAAAACCGCACCACTGAAAACCAACACAGGAGTGACAAAACGGAAACACAGAAGTCTCTTGGGGAAAATGATGCTACCGTGTAATCCATGAGCCAGTGATGAATTTGACAAGAGAAAAGAAATTATTTGGAATAAACAAACACTTAAATAAAAGACTGATGGGATTATGATTCCTTAAAATGGGGACAATCTGTTGGGGGGTGGGAGATTGGGTGGGAAAATCCAGCCTATGCAAAATCGTACCACATAACTCAAAGTTCAACTGCAACAGTACTAAAAAACAAGAGGGAACATCATCAGAGAACCAAGAAACTTGGGAATTTCCTGGCAGACATTACAAATACAATTAGAGAGAAAAGAAGATGACCAGAGACCCAAGAATGCAAAGAAGGCAATAACGGCAATTTAAGAATACTCCAAGGAGAGACACTGAAGGTGCCACAAAGTCATCAGAAAAGCATGACTGAGCGGATGAGTTGATTGCATCATTAGCTGGACTTCTTCACCCTTTCTCTGCATTCATACATTTGTCGTAATACTTTGCAGATCCCATTCCTTGAGTCTGTCCACATGACTTGTTTTGTCCAGTAAAATGTGACAGAAGTGACGATGCATCAGTTCTGACCTTAAAGGTGTTATGTTTTCACATGTTTGCTGTTTGCTGTTCTTAAGTCTCTGACATTCCCTGAGTGTCCGAACTGGTTTGTTGTGTATGAAAAGCAGAATATGGCAAAGTCATCCCAATTTCTCCCAACCACCACCAGCCAATATCAGGTGTGTAAGTGAGCCTATAAGGCCTTTGTGGCTGTTTGTTTGCTACTGTGCATTCTTGTGGAACTAGACAAGCAAGGGTATCTCCAAAAGCTACTGGAAAATGGAGCTGAATTATCAGCTTATTTTTGGTGCAAAAATAATTTGAAATCCTTGCAAGTGAGTAGTCTTAGAAAAGAAGGCATATTAAAAATGTTTAATATGGGCGCAACGCTGTGGCTCAGTGGTTAAAGTTACCACCTGTGAAGCCAATGTTCCGTGTGGAGGCCAATTCATATTCCAGCTGCTCTACTTCTGACCCAGGTCACAGCTAATGGGCTGGGAAAACCCACTGAGTGCTTGAGCCCCTGCCACCTACATGGGAGACCTGGAAGACTCTGGTTTCTGGCTTGAGCTTAGCGCAGCCCTGAGCATTACAACAGCCATCTGGGAGAGTGAACCAGCAGAAGGAAGATGTGTGTGTGTGTGTGTGTCCCTTTCAAAATAAATCTTGGAACAAACTTCCAGCTCTACTTCTGATTTCAGCTTCTTGCTAATGTGTACTGTAAGAGGTAACAGGTGATAGCTAAAGCAGTTGGATCTTTGCTACCCACGTGAGAGATCCAGATTAAGTTACTGGCTCCGACTTCCAGTCATCAGTATGTGGGAGACCTCTTTCTCTTTCTTTGAAATAAATGAGTTAGCAATTTTAAACTAAGTAATAAGAAAGAAATCTTTCAGGAATTAGCAAAAACCTCTTGAAATCAACTTTTGTTTTTCTAAAAACGTTTTCTAAATTTTCAGAAATTCTCAATATCATGGGAAGTCATTGAAAAGACAAGACCCAATACAAAATAATTAGGAGATTTAAAATAAAACTTCAAGAACATGAGTAGAGGAGGAGATAGGATGGGTATAAGACAAAATGTGTCGCATTTGAACCCAGTGTGTTCCATGGTATCAACGAAAATCCCAGAAGGAAAGAAGGGAGGATGACAAGTGGGAGAAAAAGATTGGAGAAATAATAGAGAAAATTGTCCCAAGATTAAAAGAAATGAAAGTCTTTAGTTAATAAAAGCTCTAGTGAAAGGCTAACTAGAAGTAGTGCAACACACACATACACACACATACACACACACACATACACACACGCATACACACACATACACAATACACACAGAGAAACCCCAAATTAGGCCATTTAAAAAGTGTCAGGCTGGGAAAAGAGATAGAAGTCAAAGTTTCCTGGGTTTTGAGATATTACTGAGATGATGGAGACAATGCTAAAGATGAGGACTAATTCCATCTGCCAAAAGCAAGCAAGCAAGCATGCACACACCCATACTTATGAATCTACGACCACATAGGTCATGGCAGCAGTGCTATGGAATAGAGCATAAGGGGTGGGGGGCTCTCACATGAAAGCATAACCACGGCTAAACTTGGATTGCTTTGCAACACAAATATTATCATTCATGTTAAACAGAGAATTTTTTTAAATGCAACAGAAATTATGCTTGCTTTCAATGAATGGTAAGGCCAATTCCTTAGGCAGAACTCATTAAAGTCAGACTCTTGTTTTTTCTGTTTAAAAGTACATTTCTGACTTCGGACTTTAAAGTTTATTTTTCTTTTTTTTTTTTTCTTAACTACCTAACTCATGCATCTTTCATTTTAGGCCAGGAGACATGATTACTCTTCTAGAGGATTCCAATGAAGATTGGTGGAAAGTAATTAATTATTTCCTTTTATTTAAAAAAAATCATTTGGTAGCTGTAACTGTGGGAAATGCTTCAACAATAAATGCATTCGTCTTTTTCTCTTTCAGGGGAAGATTGAAGATAGAATTGGCTTCTTCCCAGCTAACTTTGTTCAGAGAGTACAACAGAATGAGAAGATTTTTAGATGTGTCAGAACATTCATCGGGTGTAAGGAACAGGGGCAGATAACCCTGAAAGAGAATCAGGTGAGTGAAGCACACAAGTTTAGGCCAGATATGACTAACAGAGTGCAACAATCATTGAAATAAACATGAAATGCACTTGAAACTCAACAAGTCGGATCCCACTTTGAGTGGATATACAGTCAGAGGACAGGTAAAACCTACTCCACAGCATAGTGGGGTAAGACCTAGGCACACAGTATACAAAATACTTCATGGGAAAAGGATCTTTTCTAAGAGGAAACGGGCTCTTTTTATGCAATGTCCTGGAGGCAGGATCCCCATGCCTTTCTTTGAGAACTCCTGGACTCCGTGTGGACTCCAGCTTGGGCTCTGTGCTGATGTTCACCAAAAAGTAGCTAAGTCTTGCTAGTTCTACAGGAATACTTTGTCGTGATTTGCTGCTGTATCCCAGGGTTCACTGCCTCAAGGTACAAGCATCTGTCTTTTGTCTCCTGGTCTGGCTTCTAGTCCTTTGCCTGTTTAGGGAAGCCCATGGCATCTTCCCTTCGTTAGCTAAGCATCAACAACACATCAATAGAAAATCAAGACTTGTAGTTCTTCAAGAGATGTCTGGTATTGTCTTGACCCAGTGCCACGTTGAACATGGAATTCTTTATGATGCTATCAACGTTCCAGAGAAGCAAGCTGTGAACTCCCTGGACTTCTTCCTTTAAACTCCCTGCTCCTTGCTCCATATTTCTTCCCTGGAAGGTTGCTGGAGGTGAAGAACCAGAAACTCAGAGCTTCATTCTTTGTGCTACTCTCCCCCTACCTTTACAACTTTGTGCCATACCGATGTCCTTGCTATAGAACAAAAGCATGTGCTCACCTTTGTTCTGGGTATATTAAGGGAAGGCTTGGGAAATTAGAAATTCCTCTCCTAGTAATGTGTCAAAGCAAACTTCAATTTCCAGTTTGGGAAATTACAATCTTGCCTAACTTTCTACATTGTTGGAATAACAATTCTACTATTTTCCAAGCCAGTGCTTGCCCTTGTTGAAAATGATGAGGCCCACCCTGCAAAGAAATATAAAATGAAAAATGAATGGTTGCTTTTATTTCATCTCTGTTCAACAAAGTTGTCCAAAACACATCTTGAATGTCTTATTTTTTTAGAGTTACCTTCAAAACTAGACTTCTAAATCGCATTTTTAAAAAGTCATTACTTTATAAATATACCTGATTTGTAGATTGAAAGAACTGTTTGACCCAAATTAACCAATGTTTCTTTAAATCCTTATTTTTTTTAATTTATTCATTTGAGAGGCAGAGAAACAGAGCTCTCCCCATGCCAAGTGCTCACAGTAGGCAGGCAGGAACAGGTTGAAGCAAGGAACTAGGAATTAAATTTATGTCTTTCCCATGCAGGTGACAATACATGAGCCATCACTACTGCCTACCAGGGTATAAATTGGTAGGAAATTGGAATTAGGAGGAGTGGAGCCAGAACCAACCCCAAGTGCTCCATCATAGAATTTGGGTAACCCAACCAATGTCTTTACTAATGGGTTTAAAAAAATCTACCCCTTAACCATTTATGTGCCACAGGTGGCTCTAAATTATTTTATCATTTTTAAACTCACAAATGCATCTCCACTATAGGCTGGTCTGAATCACAGAATCCCATGGCACCAGGTTGCCCAGGGGAAACAGAAGAATCAGGAAGCAGCGTATCCAAACAGAATATAAGACAGGGCAGCCCATTGATCTACCAGGAGGGACAAGGAAGGGGACAGCTTTAGAAGACAACGACAAACTCCTGGCAGATGTGGCCCAGGCTGACTTCCTGCCTTTGGAGAAGAGGACAAGGGACTAAGGAGAGAAGGAAGAAATCTTAAAATATTGCATCATCAGCTTCAACAATTGTGTTATAAATACCGAAGACCGGAGTTAAGCATTAATGGGACCATGGTAGTAAAAATTAGGTAAATATGAGAAACTTTAAGCGGAAGTAGCATTTAAGGGTTTGGAGTTTGGTTTTGCTTTCCGTGAAATTAATTTTGTGATGTCAAAGTTGGATTTGACACATTCAGGCTTATCTTTGGAATCTATCATGTGAAGCAACACAGTCTTAATGTTGTGTGAGCACAAACACAAATCACCATACTCCACCATGGCCATTCCTAACAAGCTACTACTTGGGTAAGTCCCCCAAGAGTTGTGTGTCTTCTAATTTTTTTTTGAATATCGAAATCTCTAATATTCATAGAAAATAGAATCACTTGGCCTTATGGCTTCCCTCTGAAATGGGTATTTCTCTCTCTCTCTCTCTCTCTCTCTCTCTCTCTCTCTGTAACAGTTATTTACAGTGTAGGGCCACTTTGGCATACATTGCATTTGGTTACATTGTGCAACCTTTCTTCACCTGGTTCCTTGTGGATGGGGGATCTTTTCAAAGACATCAAAACCCATTCGTGTAGAAGCATGAAGTGCACCTTGTTCACGATTGTCGCCTGTCTTTTGGCTTCCCTGGAGTTGGTACTTTCATAACAGAGTGTTGGCCTACATGCTCCCCAAAGAGTTAACTGCAAAAGCCATCAAGCCTCTTTTAGAGGGGTGCGGCCTAGTTACAGGTGTCCCCATTAGTTGTCATTAACTAATCATGCTGTAAGATCATGCTGTATAATATTTATGAAGCTTATCCACCTACATTTTGACTGAGGCCACACATGTGCCCTATGAATGGGATAGGTTAAATAGTCACTGTTATTACAGTACAAATGAGGGAATAAAGTCTCATGCAGGCTGTGTGTCTTCTTCCATGGGCAAAAAACTAGTAACTGGCCAGACCATAACATGGAACTAGGTCTACAGATTTTATGTCAGTGCCTCCTGTGGAACCATGTTCCCTGGGCAGAATAGAACAAACCCTGAACAGGAAAGAACCATCCATAGGCTTGGCTCTCAGGGAGAGCAAATGTTATAAAGACAAGTATTTTTAAATCTGAGGACTAATTCTTGCTCCTATAGGCTCCCCATTGAGTTCTCAATTCAAGGCAATGGGACCATCATCATCATCATCATACTAAGATCTCGTCTTAATGCCATACACACTCTACACAGAAAGCATATGCTTCTCCCAGCTGTATGCAATGCCAAGACTTTACACTTCTCCAGGTTTATCCAACTGGATGCTCCCTGTCCCAAAAATCAGGAAGTCTTTTGACCAAAATAAGTTTATAATCTTGCTTGCCTGTTTAATTTTTTTCCCTAGAACAACCTTGAACATTCCCATTTTAGGACAAGACCATTTGTTTTCATGTTATTAAGCTATAAATCAGTGAAATCAGAAGACAAATTAAAGTCTGCTGAAGTTCATCCATTCCCATAAGTAAAACATGGGCTCTGTGACACCTGTAAATGCCTTCGCACGTTATCTAAAGCGTTTTCTCTCAGGGAATGAGCTTCATGCCTGCATTATCCTCTCTCCTGACTGAACTGTAAGGGGTTGAGGCCAGTGCCAGTGAGACCAAAAACCCAGCCCTTTCCACTAAACGTGTTCTATATGGAACACAGCATTTCAGCCTGAACCTGGAATCAGACAGGTTCATCCACAATTCCTTGAGAAAAGACTTTAACCTCTGCTGTTCATCCAGTCTGACATGTCATGAGGCCCATGACAGGATCAGAATAACTTGGGAACAACAGGTAACTCGTCCCCTTTACCCCCACCCTAATCAGCCGCATCAGGGTCCTCAGGTGTTCTACTCAGAGCTCAAGTTGGAGCAGCATTCATTTCTACTCTCTCCCTTTCAGTCCTAGAGTTTTCTGACAATCAAAGGAACCCTTAGTTCCAGTTACCTGTGAGTTATCAAAAGGCACTGAGATCTGCTTACTGTCATACCATGGCCCTATTTTCACTATTTGCCATTAATGTGGAAACCATTTTTGAAGATTCACATTATTGGTTTTTTTAATTAAATTTAAATAATAGGCTCTGGAATTTCCCTTACCCCCTATCCCCTCCCCAGATCCCCCCATTTCCCCTGTACAATTTCAATACTGCAATCCATAAATAGTCATACATCTTTCATTCTGCTATTTAAGTGTATCCTGACATCATAGGCATAAATAATGGCAGACAATCCCATATCCCATTGTCAAAATATATTCAACAATTTCCTTGGGAGTCCATCTTTGATTAGGAAAGTAGAGATGCATATTCCATTGTATCTTCATATCTGACTATGATGGTCTCTATTACACAGTTACTATACATCCCCCTTAAAAGAAAGATTTTCCATCAGCTGGTTGACTCCTTGAAAGCCAGGAGCCAGTACTGACATCCTAATCTCCGGGTTGTCTTCTGCTGCTGTCCCAGGCTCACTAGCATGGAGCTGCGTCAGAAGCAAAGCAGCTGGGACTCAAACCAGCAGTCTGGTAGGGAATGCTAAACTGTATTAAATGCATTATTTTTAAAGCAGCTGGTTGCTTGGGTTGATGGATGAAAGAAGAAAGAACAGAATTACAAGAGAGAACTGGACACATCGCCCTTTCGAGCAGTCTGAACAACGTCACCTCTGAGCATTTAACACTCACATCTAGCAGAGTAGATGCGTCTCCTGCTTGATGCAGATGTGGGGGGTCCAACATAGTCACCTGTGTCCCCACTACCATGCCTTGACCACATTGCATACTTAACGGAGGGCATTTCCCTGGCTACCATCATCACCCAGAGTAAAGGCTAAATGAGGAATTTATCTGCAGTGGGTAAGGTCACTTAAAACCACCCAAGAAATCAGAAACCAGTCTGTAAGATATAACTCTGAAAAATATTAAGAGACAAATGGTCATTAACAGGAACATAGAATAAATTTAATCTTGAAAATAAATAAATGCAATGCATCTCTCTTTGATTAAATCATTCTTCTGCCTCTGGGGCTGATCTGTCCCATAATTATTATATTATTTTTCACACAGCTTCTGTTTCCAAAAGGAATTAAGTTACCCGTGTGTGAGGAACACAGCTAGGATTTGCATTGACACAAACAGTATATTTCTTTCTCCTATAAAATTTGAAAATTTATTTTCATTAAGCCCATTGTAAGTACCATTAAAAACATTTCTTTAAATTTATCCACACTTCTGCCATACCTACAGATCTATTTTCAAGGTTTCTCTGTGTTGTATCAAAGGGTGTTTTTTTCTAACAGAGAAGCTATTTTTAGCTTCTAAGGCTCAAATACATTTTTTTCTTGTGGAGGAAATCTGAAAGTATATATTTTAAAGGAATAAAGAATATAGTGACCACAGACAATTCAACCATCAAGTTATTATCAATATAAATGTTTTGATATATTTTGTACCAAACTTCCCTTTAAAATCATATATTTTTAACTTTTTGAGATTTATTTATGTCTACTTGAAAGTCATAAGAAAGCAGGACAGTTACAGTTCTTGATACATGCTGATAAACTGTCTCCAGAGGAAAGCAAAAATGTGCTGATTTACTTTTAAGGGTATTCAGATACCCCATGCTTGGACCCGGAGCGGTAACCTAGCAGCTAAAGTCCTCGCCTTACATGCACAAGGATCCTATATGGGTGCTGGTTCATGTCCCACTGGTCCCACTTCCCATCCAGCTCCTTGCTTGCGGCCTGGGAAAGCAGCAGTTGAGGACAGCCCAAAGCCTTGGGACCCTACACCTGTGCAGGAGACCCAGAAGGAGCTCCTGGCTCCTGGCCTCAGATTGGCGCAGCTCTAACCATTGCAGCCACTTGGGGACAGAAGATCTTCCTCTCTGTCTCTCCTTCCCTCTGTGTATCTCACTTGCCAATAAAAATAAAGAAATTTTAAAAAATAAAAGAGATACTTCATGCTTGCCAGAACATCACTGTTTTTGATATCTGTTATTTTGATGGAGGAGTAACATTTCACGTCCACCTGTATTTCACAAATAGTTAGAAAGTTTGACATTGTATCATAATATACATGGTGTTTGTACTTCTCTTTTGAATAGTTTTCTTGTGTACCCATTTTTTTATACTATTAGCACATTATTTTTTTAGGAGTATTTACACCTGATGTACCATATGTAGATTTCATTTTATTTACATCTCTAACCTTTCCTTTTTGTTTGTCTCTGTCTGCTGTCTTCCAAGGGGACACTTGAAGACAGTCCCCATTTTCTCTATGATTTTATGAAATTTCACTTTAGTCTTCCCTTCTTTTTTCATTTATTTATTTATTGGAAAGTCAGATATACACAGAGGAGGCAGAGAGACAAGTGACCGCACCGGCCAGAGCTGAGCCAATCCGAAGCCAGGAGCCAGGAGCTTCCTCCTCCAGGTCTCCCACATGGGTACAGGGTCCCAAGGCTTTGGGCCGTCCTCGACTGCTTTCCCAGGCCACAAGCAGGGAGCTGGATGGCAAGTGGGGCTGCTGGGATTAGAACTGGCACCCATATGGGATCCTAGTATGTTCAAGGCAAGAATTTTAGCCACTAAGCTACCACACCAGGCCCAGTCTTCCCTAACTTCTAACACGGATGTTAATTTGGTGTCTGTTCGCTTGTCTTTTCTTCTCAATCAGCCCCTTTTGCGGAGGTGGAAAACTTTTTTTCTGCCAAAGGCCACTTGGATGTTTATAACGTCACAAATATAGAAGGTCCTGAAGTTGCCTTGGCAACCAAGTGGTTTTACGGGCCCTAAATAGCCCACTGCTGCACATTTCTTACCCCGTCTCTACAATATATTTTCTTTACATCTCATTTCATCATGTCTTCACCTCAAGGGAATCCTGTAACTTTGAAGCCAACTCTTCCTCCCATCTACTGCATCCCACATGTATCTAAAAGTATAATTTTCAAGCATATGGGAAAAAAGTCCATTGAAAATGCATGTTATGAAAAAACTATGCATTGATCTTTAAAAACATTTGCAGGTACCTAATCTTATCTTTTAATTCCTTTTTCGTATGAGCTTTTAAAACTGTCCTTATTTGCGACTATTTCCTACTCTGTTTCAAGGGCTGGAAAGGAACTCTCTAGGTCTTTAAAAAAAACTAAACAAACAATAACAGCTCCGCAAAAAAATGCCCATGCCTTATTCCTCAAAACTGATTATCAAATACAGTACCCGAAATGGCAGAAGGACCTTGCTAGGTTCGATGTAAGTGTAAGGTCTTGTGATGGGATCGGTCATCATGGGTTATCGGGATGAGCCCAGGAGAACTGTAGAGACAGGAAGGCCAGCGAAGGCAATGTGACAGTGGAAGCAGAGGTGAGAGATGTGCAGGTGCTATACTGCTCTCCTTGAAGACACAGGAAGGCACCATGAGCCATCCCTGCAGGTGACCTCTGGAAGTTGGAAAAGATGAGCAAACAGACTCTGTCTCAGGGTCTTCAGAAGGAACACAGCACTGGCAGCAACTTGATTTTAGGGCTTCTAACCTGCAGAACTCGAAGATGTTTTGTTGGTTTGTTTTATACTACCAAGTCTTTAAAAAAAAAAATCATTCTTTTTTTTTTTTTTTTTGAAGAGCAGAATTGCAGAGAAAGAGAGAAAGATGGAGATCTCCCATTGTCTGCATTGCTCCCAAATGGCCACACCAGCCATGCCTAAGCCAAGCCAAAACCAGGAGCCAGGAGCTTCTTCCAAATCTCCCACGTGGATGTCAGGGCATCTAAGTACATATGTAACCTCCACTGCTCTCCCAGGTGCATTAGTCAGGAACTGGACTAGAAGTGGAGCAACCACTCTTCCAAACTGATTCTCCTGCAGGATACTGGCTTTGCAGGTCTCAGCTTAATCCCTCACACTGCAACAAAAGCCTTTAAACCACCAGCTCTGCCGGAGTCAACTACAGCAGCTTAGCAAACTAGCCCAGCTTTCACGCAAAAGGATTTTGTGGGTATGATTGAGGATATAGATCCAAAGTGAGCTATCCCAACTCATGCAGGAGTACCTTGCTAAGCAGGCCAGTGTTTATACTGGCTCCTCAATGGGAAAAGAGGAGAGACAAAGCAGGAAGGAAAGCCAGAGAAAGACCCCAGTTGACAGCCAGCAAGAAAACAGGGACCTCAGTTCCACGCTCCTAAGGAGCTGTTCTCAGCCACAACCTAAAGGCCTTGGGTTAAACCTTGCTGTACAGGAAATAGATGAACAGAGCCCTTCTTGATGCTTTGATTCAGGCCTCGTGCAACCCAGATCAGAGAATACCAGTCAAGCTCACCGGAAGTCAGAACTGCAAAACGGGGATATAATGAATTAGGCAGCTTAAAGCCACTAAATGTATTGTGATTTGCTACAGTAACTGTAGCACAATTCAAACCCATTCTCAAGTCCTAAAACTCAAACATACTTAACATGGAAGGGGATGTTTACTCCTACAATGAGAGATCTGACACAGGGAGGATTGGAGGCTGACAATTCAGTGACTTGGCCCCAAGGCCAGGGAATCAAATCCTCCTTTTCTGTCCTGCCATCTTTAAGAGGTTCATCACTGTCCCTACTAGTTATAACTCCTTCTCTGGTGTGGCAGAGGTGGCCCTGCTTTGGAATATGGGAGATGCTAGGATCTGAAATGAAAGAATTCCTCGGGGGCATATGAAATTCTAATCGCTGGATGGAGCCCTGCAGGGTGACAGCTAATACTGTGCTTACACTTTAAAATAACTAATTGAAGCTAGACTTGGGGTATAGCACGTTAAGTCTCTGCCTACAGTGCCAGTATCCTATATGAGAGATAGCAAGATTCCTGGCTGCTCCATTTCAGATCCATTTCCTAATTGGTGCATCTGAGAAACCAGCAAATCATAACCCAAGTGCATGAGTCCTGGGAGACTCAAATGCAACTCTAGGTTCCCAGCTTCAGCCTGGCCCAGTGCCAGCCATTTGGGCAGAGGCCAGCAAATGGAAGTTCTTTCTATATCTATCTATCTATCTATCTATCTATCTATCTATCTATCTATCTATCTATCTAATCTTCTCTCTCTCCATCCTTTTCTGTGGTTGTACCTTTCAAATAATAAATAAATGCTCTAGAATTACAATATTGAGAATCATGCGCGTCGGATGCAAGGCTCTTTGACAAGCATTATAACTTTTCAGGAGGATGTACACTCAATCCCTACTTTGTTGCTCCTCATTCATTAAGCTGAATTTCACAAGTCATACAATACCAGGGCCTGACGAATTTCTGCCTGCTTTTGTTTCAAGTCTTTTTCTCACAGTAGCACAACTGTCCATCATCCTGTGTGGTGCTCCTGCACTCTGAAGGCAGCGGCGAGCCAAGCCACAGCACGTGTGACTTCTTCTAGCTGATGTTCATGTCCATTGTCTTTTCTCTTTGTTTTTTGCCACCCATCCAGATCTGCGTGTCTTCTGAAGATGAGCAAGATGGCTTCGTGAGGGTCCTCAGTGGGAAGAAGAGAGGCCTTGTCCCCCTCGATGTCCTAGAAAACATCTGACCACTGGCCCTGCCTCCCGTGGCAGCAGACGAGCTCTGCTGCGATGCCCTGTGCCTCATCTCACACTGTGTCACCCAGAGGAGCTGCCACCCTGACCCGGCCCCACAGGAAACACAGAGACAAGACTGGAGGATCTGAGACCGTGGGGTAACAGGTTGCCCAATGTGGGGACGAGGCTGAGCCAGCCTGTGGCGGAGCTGAGTACTACACCTGCACTGTAACGCTCAAGTCCTGTCCTTGCGGTGTGGCCCATAGCTTCCCAAGGTGTGGCCCAGGGTGGAGTTCAGGTCCATGTAAGGCAGTGTTATTCTCGTTCCCAACCTTTGTCCCCTGTCTGGGCTAATCAGAAGCATCACATCTCACTCAGACCCCAAGCCGTCTCTCCACAGAATGTCAGGAAGACCTACGTCCAACCACCCCTGCCCTTGGAACTGCACCGCCCTCTCCCAGGCCTCCCACTTTGTGACTATGCTGTACGGAGTGGCCAGCTTCTGTCTTGGTCTTCAGTCCTGTTGTGTTGCACACGTGAGGGCTGACTGACTCAGCACCAAAGATCTGCCCAGAGTGTGTGGGCAAGTTGTCCTTCCTGCTGCTCAGCTCATCCACGGGGGGGGAGGCAGGGGAGACCAAGCAACATCTAAAGCCCAGACAGGAGGACAGATATGGGAAGTGAAGGTTACAAGGGCCACAGAGCCCTTATGGAGTGAAGATGACAACCCCGTCAGTTACCAGGTCTTTTTCTGAGTCAGGGTGAAGGATGTGGCCAACCATCTCCTCTAGGTAGGCAGCAGCATCTTTAGAGGTCGGGACCACCCTGCAGGGAACCAGGAACACAGAGAGAGACGCCACAGAACCTTGCAAGAAACATGACTAGACCAGAGCTCCTGCTTCTTCAGGGCAGTATATTATACCCTAGCAGATATAAAATGGAGACGAATCCCTCATGTTTCACCCTTCCAGGCGTGAAGACAGTTGGGCCGTTTTAGCATCATGGAGGGGGCTCTCTGTTACTCTGTACGTGTATTAATGTTTACAAGAATGCAATATACTGTGATGCCTTCCTCCTCAAGCCTCCCCCTAGCATACAAACTTGCATCCCCAGTAGTCATCAATATGGTTCAACTTCAACTCAGTGACCTTGGTGTCAAGGCTGCTTTGATCTATTTTGTTACAGAGCAATAAATCACTAGAACAATTTGGTTTCTTCAAGTCTTCAGTGGCTGCATCCTGTGCATGTGAGCATTCTTTCCCAAACCAAAGCATCATCAGTCTCCATTGGTATATTTTGTTCTTTCTCAGCATGAAGGTGGGAGCTGAGATGGGATGGCTGCTGGTTTCACAAAAGTTTGGATGCCTTATTCTCATTTTAAAGCCAGCATCCAGAATGTCCTCCTCTGGTACAACATACAAAACCAAGTACAGAGTTAAGACGGATTCTCTGAAAGCCAGGGTGAATATCATGACTGCCTTCCTATACAACGGAATGTCAAGTACAAATCCTCTTTGCCTCTAATTCAATATTCCATTTAATAAAGACAATGCAGTGGCTGGAAGGAGCTTAACACACCTGTGTGCTGATCTCTTCCTTCTTAGGCAAAACCCGATCAAGTGTTTCTCCTCATATCACATCCCACGCACATTTGATTTGCATTTTAAAAAGCTTACTCGCCTCTTGAAACTAAATAGAAAGGTTATGAAGGTGGTCAGCCTTCAGGTGCTCATCCAATCACCCCTGCCTCCTGATTTTCTTTGCCTTCATGAGTGGCCTATCCCACAGGGAACTCTACTATTCTTAGGTGACCCACAGAATACAACAAAGGTGGCTCTAATTGACATCTGGTTGGCATTTTTTTTTTTTAATTCTTGTAGCTTCTGCCTTGATCTTTTAGAACACTCACTGTAGAAATCCTGAGGCATGAGAGAAGAAATTTATCTACCCCAAGTCCGCCAGGCAGGAAGGAAGACCACACACTTCAGCAGCTAATATCCCAAACATCTCAGACAAGATGACACATCCCTCTGAGCCCTGCCCACGCTACACAGCTATGGGCACAACAAATATGTGCTGGCTGCCTTAATCATCAGGCTTTGAAGTAATTTGTTGTACAGAAATAGATAGCAGGGAGACGGGCATTGTAATTAGAGACAGTCAGAATGGAAAACGCTCTTTCTGCACAGAGAAGCCCAAAAGTTTTGCAAACATCAGGTATTGGCAACCAATTAGCCCCAAGATGTTTGGAGTCATTCAGTCAAGTATAGAGCAAGATGCTGCTCATGGCATAGATTGGTACACCTGCCTTCCCACACAGGGAGGTTTTAGAAACCAGAGCCTTTTCCCCTCCCCATCTATCTGCAGAAACCATAAGGACAAGCACAGCCCCTAGGTATCCCCAACTCAGAAGTATCTGGAAGTAGTAGGGACACAGCTTTTGAATGGAAATAAAGTAAGCGTCACAGGAGACACACTCTGGGAGGGGACAAGGAAGGAAGGAAAGATATTCATGAAGAACAAGTGGATCCGAGAATGTCACGCACCACGTGTGACAGCGAACCTTTGCTTCCGCTCCTACTTCCTGACCTCCAGCAGAAGGATGACTCTTGTCTAGCTGGGCCTGGGCAGCCGTGCCCTGCACTTCACCACTGATGTCACAGGGCTTGGTTCTGTCATATCCAGTTTGGAACAAAGCATCGTTTGAGCCATGCCAGCCTTCCAAAAGGTGAAGGACAGAATTTCTGTCCTCAACCCCTATCATGGCTAGCAGACCTCTCTGATACCTTGTGTGGACAGTAAGACTACAGGGAGCCCAGGACCAGATAACTGTCAATAGGGTTGATTTCACAGATCATTTCTGCTAGGCTGTATAGCCAGGGCATACACACAAGAGTGCGCACACACCTGTCAACAGCGGAGGCCAGCACTCAAATTGCTTATTTAAGGCAGTTGATGAGGTGACACATAGAAAATTGCTAGAGTCAGTCTTTGCCCTAAAATGAAGGGGAAAAAAATCAGTGAGAAAATCACCATGCATGTGTAACCCCTATAAGGTTAAACATAATAATTTTTAAAAAAATTTAGAAAACATCGTTAGGGTCCAATGGTATAATTACCATAAAGGATAAATTTTAATTTTGAAAAAGTAGACACTATCCTGGGAATTCCAAAAGCTGGTCTGGGTAGCTGACTGTTCCAAGAACAGCAAAGCCAAGCAAGAACAGCCATAGGCAGTCTACAGCCATGCCCATGCAGAGGCAGCCCTGCGTTGTGTGTTCAAGCAACTTTGTCACATCTTCATCAAGTGAGCCTGATTTTGAGGAAACTTAGAATCCAAATCCCAACCATTTGCTCATGGCTCATTGCTACTAAGAAACTGTGTGAACTTGCAGGCCAATGGCCTGTATGATCTTTAGCATTGATTTAGAACAGAGGAGAGAATGTTAGAACAGCATGGCAAAGCACACAGTGTTGGAAATTGTGCAGGAGAGTCTTCGTACAATCCAGGACCATCAAGCACGCACAGGCCTCCATGGCCCCCTGGCTCTCTTCCTCTGTTTCACAGACATTCATGACTAACAGCACTAAAACACACAATCATAGGGATACCAAAGGCTGAAAGATGATCTGCTATGGACCCTGGGTCTGCAGGGAAGTAGGAGGAAGGAATTCACTGCACTACGGGGTAGGGAAAGAGGTGAGGAGTGCATGGCTCATCCCAGAAAAGTACAAGACCTATTTTCAAGAACAGTGATGAACTACATTTAGAATTGCTCCACCAGGGCCCGGCATGCTAGCCTAGCAGCAAAATTATTGCCTTGCACACACCATATGGGCACTGGTTCTAATCCCAGCAGCTCCACTTCCCGTCCAGCTCCCTGCTTGTAGCCTGGGAAATCAGTCAAGGATGACCCAAAGCATTAGGATCCTGCATCTGCATGGGAGACCTGGAAGAGGCTCAGGGCTCCTGGCTATTGGATCAGCTCCGCTCCGGCCGTTGAGACTGCTTAGGGAATGAATCAACAGACAGAAGATCTTCCTCTGTGTTTCTCCTTCACTCTGTATATCTGACTTTCTCATGAAAAAAAAAATTTTTTTTTTTAATGTCTCCCTGGCATCCTTGACTCGGGTTCAAGTGCTGCTCAGTTGCTCCTAACTGCTCAGTTCACGGCAGAGCTTTCATGTGGGAGAAGCAGATGTGCTTTCACCAACTTCCACAGCAGCTCATTCTCAGTTTATTTACTTTGATGCTGTCATTGTGGTAACAATAAAATACGGGGTTATGAATTTTCCTCTCAGTTCAGCTTTGGCCATATTAAATAGCTGCTTCTATTTTGCAATTCATTTATAAATTTGGAACTACAGTTTTAATTATCCCAATTGATATTTCATTTCACTTGCTTTTTTTGAATTAATTTATTTATTTTATGATACAGTTCCACAGTCTCAACGATTTCCCTTCCCCCACTCCCCAATTCCTCTCCTCCCACTGATTTCCCCTATATTATTACAATAATATAGAGAAACTCTATAGAGAATATCATATTGAGAAGTGAAGATACGTAGCAGTATGTACCTCTACTCCCAAATCAAAGTTGAGCTGCCAATGAAACTATTAACTGTATCTTGACCATAGGCGGCTGCAGTGATACAGAAAGTGTGAGAAGAGTTTGCATTATACTTGGGAATTTCCCAGGATCTACAAAATCTAGCATGGTAATGCCCTGACTCCATTTCTTAGGGTAGGATTCACATTTACTAACCCCAAAGAAGTCCCAGAAGTCCAAAAAGATAGTTTGTGAATTAACATTGAAAAAAAAATCTATGATCGTCATGTTGATGGGCAAACTTCTCTAACATGACCTACTTGCTCTTCCCTCGTACTTGGAAAGGCACTGAGTGATACAAAAGTTCCAGGCATGTTGGATGTTACCCCACTGACAGCCTGCAAGAAACACAGGCACAAGCTAACTTGGCAGATCGGACTATCGTAGTGGACAGCTGCAGG